AGGGAGAACTTAGACCTTCGCGTAACCAGCGCACACACTTGAAGTTTGCAGGATCTTTAAGTGGTTACCTTAAAAATCGCAATTAAACTTTCGTCTCCCAAGTGTGGTGGCTTCCCAAGTTAGTGCAGCTCTCTGAAAACACACTTTTTCAGGAAAGTAACCAGAATTTGTACCACCCCAGTCCATACGTGCTCCCAAAGACTTGGCTGCACTACCAGGCTGCGGTCCTGGTGTCCTGGGCAAACAGAGGAGTCCAGCTCTTTATTTTTTTGGGAGGGATGGTGGTGGGGTTTTTTTTTAGGACTCAAATCATGTTGAGAAAATATTAAACACGTAGACGCATCCCTCATCACAGAGCATGTGATGGGTTTAACACGCTAAACTAATAATCTTGCCTGGAAAAGCAAGGAGGCTGAGGAAGAAGAATAAAACCCCCTCAAACACTCAGAATATTCTTTACTGCAAAAGAGCACTTCTGGATGCGTTGCTTTAAATCTCATTCTCTTTTTCTCTCAAAAATGACTGTTTAACATAAGAAAAAAGGCTACTTGACACAAAGCTTTTGTTATCCAGTTGATCAGCAACGTGCTTTAGATACTTGTAAGGGGAAAAAAGCCCCACAACAGACATTGATTTTAGAAAATCAATAACCAACATTTAATAAAAAGAACAGAGGAAACACAAGAGAGGAGAGGGAAACATTACGTGTAATTTTAATGTCTACTAAATTACCCAGAGATGAGGGGAAGGGGAGGTCTCCTCTGTGAGGACCACCTTAAATAATGACAGACACAAGAGTAAAGGGTGGTGGTGAAGGGGGAGAGACTTTAAAAAAAGATAACAAGGAACGGATCCTTGGGAAGTTGCTCGGAATATATTATTTTAGGTTTTTGGTGCCTTTTTTTTTTTGTAATACTAAGCCAAGCAAATAGATCAAAGACAACACAAAGGGAAAAGCCAGTGTAACATAACGAACAGTTTCTGACTAAAATTCCTCTATCACTCCCCCATATGGCTCGACGCCTCCACCACAACAAGAAAAAGACACACACGCGCACACACACACACACACTCACACTCACAACCTAGAGAGGGAGAGGAAGGGGGGGGCAGGATCATTTGTTTCTAATCAACATTCTCTTGTCTTTGTGTTTTTTGTTGTTGTTGTTGTTGTGTGTGTGTCCCCCTCCTCCTTCAGCCCCCCTCCACCTCTCCACTTAAATGAAGTAGCTGAGCTATAAGAGCATGGGTTCAGGTTCACACAAATATCTTCCTTCCTCTGGCTCCTCGAGAGGAAAGTTGTTGGAAGTGGGGCCGGGATGGCCATGCGAGGGGCTGCGGGCGGGGAGGGGGAGGCTGGCGGCGGGGGAGCGGCTATCAGCCGGGGGAGAAAGGAAGAAACTAAGGGAGGGACGGGGAGAGACGGAGAAAGAGAGACCCATCACACCAGTGAAAGCTGCCAAATGTGAAATCAGCCCAGAACACCGCGTCCCACTGCGCCCCGGCCCTGCGCGGCCGGCGGGGACCGGGGGAGAGGGCAGCGGCGGACAATCGGGCACCGAGCTCATTAGTATTATTAATTATCAGGGAGGAGGAAGTTTCATTTTCGAGTCCCTAACAATGAAGAAAAAAAAAAAAAAAAAGGAAAAGAAAGAAAAGAGAGGGAGAAAGAGAGAGAAGTCCCGCTAACTCGGTGCCAGTCCGCCTCGGGGTTCTCACGCTGCCGGGTTTTTTCCCAGGGCCGCCCGCGCCCGCTCGCTCCGCGCCGCTCCGCGCCTCCCCGCCCCGATCCGTCCTCCGCTCCGCTCCGCACCGTCCCGGCCCGGCCCGGGCCGTGACAGCGCCGGGCGAGAACGCGCCGGGGCCCGCCCTGCCTGCGCTCCGGGCACCGGGAGCTCCGGGGGCTCCGGGGCAGCGCCCGCTCGCTCCGCGCCCGCGCAACAAACTTTGGGGCGCGGCGGCGTCGGCGGTCCGGCGGCCAGGCCGCTCCCCCCCGCCCCACTCGCTGCCCCCTTCCCCAGCGCTCCGCGGCCCGCGCAAGCCCCCGGACGCGGCGCAGGGAGCCGGGGGGCGGCCAGCCCCCGGGCTGCGGGCGCCGTCCTCCCCGCGCCGTCCCGCTCCCCGTCCTGCCGCCGGCTTTCCTCCACAGCCCCCCCCCTCCATTCCCGGGCGCGGCGGAGCCGGCCGGAAAAGTTTTCCCGGGGGGGCGTCTTACCGTTTTTCCTCCGGGGGTTGGCTTGTTTTCGCCTCTTACACCTGGGGCCATCCGCCATGATCTGCTGCTTCATTGATAAGAGTGGATCAGATGGCAGTTCGCATGGGCTCGACTCCCTGATTCAGCAGCAGCAGCAGCAGCACGCAGGCTCTATGTAACGACCAAACACAGCGACAATGTGGGCATCGGGATGTCCCATTTAAACGCAGGGCGCCAACGGGGACCCCAGTTTGCACCCGAAAAAGAACCCATCCACGCACACGGCGAGCCTGGCCGTGCCGGGGGAGGTGGGACGCGGTCGGAGCGGGCTCCCCCTCTCTCCCCAGCCGGGCAGATTTCTTCTTTATTTATTTATATATTTATTTATTTATTTATTTCTGCTCCCTCTCTCTCTCTCTCTCTCTCTCTCTCTCTCTCTCTCTCTCTCTGTGTGTGTGTGTGTGTGTCTCTGCGTGTGTGTGTGTGAGCGCGTGTGCGTGTGTCTCCCTCCCTGTGTGTGTGTGTGTTGCACCAGCAAAGCAGATCAGAGAGAGAGAGAGAGACAAGAATTACATCTCAAATGAGTCATAACTCATGACCGTATGAGGGAATGCACAGCTTTTACAGTAGGCTGTTTGACTCAATGCTAGGCGGACCATTTCCTCCTAAAAGTACTTTAATTTGACACTAGAACTTCTTTTCATGCGAAATCCTACCCTTCTCTTGCCTTTATTTTTTTTTCCCCCAAAGTGCACTCCAGCAAAGTGATAAGAGGAGAGGGAAACATGGCTCTCCCCTGTCCTTTTGGGGTAAAGCTCAGCACGGAGACCTCCCCCTCCCCCTAACAACGAGGAGTGTAATTATAAACCTCTGTCACCTTTTTAGTCAGTTTGACAATATTCAGGGTTTCCCCTGTCCCTTAGTTAAACAAAGCTTCAGAGTGTCATTTTTTTTCCTTCCCAGAAAAGAAACAGAAATCAAAACTACCGCTGTCAGAGTTTTCAGCCTTGCAGTTGGGTTTTGTTTTTTTGTTGATTATTTTTCTTTTTTAAGAAAAAAAAAACACAACTTGTAAACTTTTAGACCTACTGTGTGTGCCTGTGTGCCCGGGCTGGGCAGGAGGCTCTATCTGTCAAAGGGAGAGAGAGGCAGGAGCGTTTGGTTTGCTGCAAGAACGCTCCTGAAACTCAGTCCATCTCGAAGAAGATGCTGTAGCTTTAAAGATGCTTTGACTTGAGGATTAGTTTAAACAGGGGGCTATAAAAGATGTAACAGATGCAAACTGTAAAACAAGGGCAATTAACCCTTGCTCTCCTGAGCAGGATCCCCCCTCGCCTTCGCATCTATTGTCTTCTCCTGCACTGGGAGTTTTACATAAAACCTGAAAAATTATTACCTGACTCAACAATTTTAATATATTTTTTTAAGCAGAGTGAGATAATTTTTCCCTTTTCCTCCTTTCCCCTCCCTTGTGTCTTTTTACTTTGCTGGAGCTTCACACCAGGACTGAGCAGTGAAGTGTGTTGCTGTTGGGTCTTTTTATTCTGCCTGAACTCTTCCCTCAGACGTTTGCTGTTATAAAACCTGCTTGGCTAAAAATAAGAAATAATAAATCTCCAAGCAGGTAAGAGGATGGGAAGATTGAGAGAGTGTGTGTGGGGTCAGCGTATTTACTCACACTCTCCTGCTTGGGATTCTGCTTGGACAGAGGGAATTGGTGGCTCTGTGGATGAGCATATATGTGGCTGAGGAAGGAAGAGGCTGAGAAATGTGCTAGAAACTTTAGTATTTGCCAGTTATTCCCGAGACTGGAGTGGGCAATGGTGGCATCACCGCGGCACATCTACCAGGAGATGTAGCGGGGAGGGAGGACAGGCACCGAGGCGAGCCCGGACCCTCAGCTTGCCTCGGCAATAGGCGTTTTAATGCAAAACGACCAATGGTGAATTCTTTTAAATGCATTTCACTCCCTTCCTTGCTCCCCTGCCTCCCGCAAAAAGTTGACAATAATTTTAAACCTGCAAATTTCGAGAACACTTTTCTTTCTAGAGAACCAGCAAGCTTTTAAAAATACACATTATAATTTTTAAATTTTTTTTTTTTTTTTTTTTTTTTTGCTTTTTGGTAAACGACTTTTAAGTTCCAGTCAGTACTTTCACTTCTTGCTTTAGGCTTCCAGAAGCTAAGGTGTTGCTTCACCCAGCTTCACAAAATAAAATAAAGAAATGAAACCAACTAAACAGACAAAACAGCAAAACTTTCTGTTTGGGGAAACACATCCTTTGCCGGGGAACCCTGCCCGGGGCTGGGGCTCCAGCGGTGCCCGGCCGGGCTGGCTCTGCATGCTCAGGGCATGCAAAGCATTAACAGGTACCTGCAAACTTTCAGAGCTCAGATGTAAAACCTGAAATAAAAAGAGCAGGAGATGGGTGGGGGGATGTTTGAGTTTTTTGTTGGTTTTTTTGTTTTGTTTTTTTGGGGGGTTTTTTTGCAGGAGGACGAAGTCCTTTCCTAACACTAAAACTTTTGGTGCTGCGTTGTAAAAGGCACCTCCCGTACCTGGCTGACAGGTAAGGGGAGCAGGGGTGGTGGTGGCACAGCCCCGAGCTCCCCGAAACCGCTCACCCCTTCCCGGAGCGGTGCTGGAGTGACTTCAGGTTTCGGTTATAAAAAATTTTAAAAATAAAGAAAAAAAAGAGAGATTTTTTCGCCCCAAGTATAAACAAGCCAGAAAAATTAAAATACTCTCGAAATGAAATAAGCCTGCTGGTGCGTGAGGTGGTCTGAGTAAAAAGAGAAGAGGAGGGAAAAAAAAAAAAAAGGGAGAAAATGGAATTAAATTCCGAACCTACCTGCGAAGTCTTGTTTGTAGTTTTGGCCAGAAATGGTGACAAGAAAAAGCATGAAGAAGCCGCGAAGTGGAGGAGAAAAGGTGAAGGGAGATGCAGCTCCTGGAGAAATTGTAAAAAGCCTTGCAAAGAGTTGTCGGAAGGACCGTTATTCCTGCTGGGCAGGTTAGGACTGATCTCTTTCTGCCACTCCAGGAAACACAAACCTGGGGACGGACTGACGTGTTACGCCTCTTCTAATGACATTTTTTTCTTTTTCTTTTCTGTACGAGCGAGAGGAGAGACCCTGCAACACACGCCACCTATCTTTGTGGGGAGGGATAATTGGAGAGCACCAAACGTGAGCATCATGTGGAAACGTGATCGCCAAGTTTCTCTCTGGGAAAGGATCTGGGATAGATTATACCTTGAAGTCTCCGCGAACGCTTTAGCGGCAGAAATGCAATTCCACCTGCAATTCCACCTCCTGCCCCGCCCGCCCCCCGCCCCCCGCCGGGGGGGGGGCCCGCCGCCCCGCCCCGCGCTGCGCTCCGCGCCGCCCGCGCCCCGCGGAAACTCAACCGCGCCCGCCATCCGCATCCCGCCCATCCCGGGGTCTGCAAGCCCCTGCCCGCGGATGCGACCCCGCCCTCCCCCCCCCGGCCGCCGGCTGCAATCCTCTGCACACCGCGCTGGGGCGCATCCCGCTCCCCCCACGGCGCGGGCGCATCCTGCCTCTGTGCCCCCGCCCGCTCCCGCATCCTTTCCCTCCCCCAGGCGGAATCCTCCGCCCCTCCCCAGCAGGATCCCGCCGGATCCCCTGCCCCCAGGCTGGACTGCCGGTTCTCCATCCCTGGGGCCGGGATCCCTGGCGGTTCTCCCCCGGCGGGGTCCCCCCGCTCGCCCGCCCGCCCGCGAGCCGGCGAGGGGCCGCATTCCTGCCCCGCACCGTCCCGCTCCGCAGCCCCGCGCGGACCCCTCGCAATCTTGCGCGGGGAAAACTTACCCTAACATAAAGCCTAGAAACTAAACTCTGTTCGGGCACTGCAAATAAGCTCTCTGGCTTGTTTTGGTGCTGTTTTATTTTTATCCTTAACGCGTTTCTTTTAGGGCTTTTTTTTGTTTTTTTTTTTTCTTCTTCCCCCTCCCTTTCATTTCAGCACTCATCCAGGTTATTTGAATAGTCAGCTAAATCTGAGGGGGAAAAAAAAAAAGAACCACCAACCAAACGTGCTGAGATCTTACAGTCTATCTGTTTTGTTCACAGATATGGATCAGGGGTGAGATGGGCTCTTTTCCTGGCTCTGCTCTTCCTTGGAAGTAGCTGAATGAGCAGAGAGACAGCGTGGACAAGTAACGCGTGGGACTGAACTTCAGGGAGGTTACAAGTTTTTCACCTTTTTCAAGTATGAAAATTAAAATAAAATTACATATATAAAAAAAAAAAAAAGAAGGAAAAAAAAAAAAAGCCCAGACTCCACCTTTGCACTGAAGGGATTGGTTATGCAAATATGGAAGGGGTTTCCTGGCAAATACAGCTTTCTACTGTATGGTTAATTAAATCATCACTCAAAAGCCTTCCAATGTGACGCTTCTGTCGTAATCCAATCAGGTTACGTAGGTCCTAAACAAGAAAGATATTTTCCACATCTGGAAGTCAGCAATTTAGCAAGTACTGCACATTATTAACCAATTCAGAGCCCACTTCCCAGGGGGATAGTTTTTTCTCTTTTTTTGAAGTTTAAGTGTTCTTAACCAACGCTCTGCCGGTTTGTTAATCAAAAAGCTGGTTTGCACCGCACGTAATCGAGAAGTAATATCGAAGTAAGTAAAGGCAGCCCGAGCTGGGGATGCTGAGCGAAGGCGTTCAGCTGCAAAGGGGGCTGGTCCGGCTGAGCCTCCAGCCGCTCATGCCCAGCTCCCAGCACAACCCACAGCCGTTCCTTCCTCTAAAAGAGCTCGAAATAATATCGGTGCAAAGAGAAACTTCGCGTCTTGCCTGCTCGTATGGTCCTTTCCCGAGGTAAACGTGGGGCTGCCCAAAGGGCTGCGTTAAAGAGCTGTGAAACAATTTCCCTGCTCTGACAAGAGTTCAACCTATTACAGCACTTTATTTCTTTTTTCTTCTCCCCCTCCCGAAGAAAACCGAAACAAATGGCACACTGATCCCACACTGCACTTTTACTTACATTAAGCTTAGATAAACTGCTCTTGAACTGTGCGTTGAACGTGTGCCTAAAGCAAGAAGTGGAAGGCGAGCAATAGCGATAGGGATTGCGCTTCAAAATGGTCCTGCTCAGGGAACACCTTCCTGACGGTTCAGCATCGCAAAGGAAGGAAGGGGACCCCCCCTCGCCCCCCTCGCCTCCCCCCGCCGCGTGTCTTTGCAGCTCATCAGAGCCACCGAGATTTGCTTGGGATTTTTTTGGTCATCTGTGAGTTAGACGGGACTGGGTGCCCCTGAGAGATGCGGGGGAGGCAGTGCATAGGGGGGTCTCCGGCAGGGGCATCCAAATCCCCCCCCCCAGGACGGGAAATAGCCACCAACCCCCTCTCTGGGTGTCCCTCTCCCCAACCCCGAGCTGCAGGAGGAGTGAGGAGGGAGAGGCAGGCTCTGGTGGTTTGCAGCCTCTGAAATCCCCAACTACTGCAAAGGTGGGAACAAGCTTCCCTATTTTTTTTTAATTATTATTATTTTTCTTTATATTTCTTATTTTTCCCCTGCTATGAGTCATCCCGGCTTTGCTAAAAGTTTTCTTGTCACTGTTCTCTAAATGCCAACATGATTTTCCTGCAGCATGCCTGACTTCTCCATGCCTAAATATACCTGTATATGCAGAGACATATCACACACACACACACATGCACGCACACACACACAGAGTGATGATATCTTAATGAAATATATAGCACGGTGCAAATATCTTGAAATCAGATTCAAGTATTATTAATTTGAATTAGATCCTCTCAGATCCAGAAGGCATTGCCTATAAATCAAGGGCAGTCTGGCAATTCCTTAAAGAGCTAAACTGAATTTAGATGCATATGATAAAAAGAAAGAAAAAGAAAAAAGTGAATGCTAATTACTGACTCGCTTGATTTCCACTCACCCACGTTTTCTAGGAGGATAAGGAAAAAAAAAATCAAAAACCCAACCAACAAGTTCTCAAAATAAATTAATCCCATTACAAACTCCTTACATATTGTTCATACATTTCCAGATTAGAAAACGAGAGGATGAACTGGAGATTATGAGAGGCTGCAGCCTAACCCGCAACAGGCAGGACTGCCATCGATGTTGTATCATTAAAACATGTACATCTGCAGCCACACTAAAAAACAAACCCTCAGACCGTGTGATGATGCTCAAGGGCTTTAAGGAACATGTTGGTATTGTCAGATAAACCCTATTCATAATTTTGCTGGCTGTTCTTTCAGCCCTCAATCTCACAGTGTCTCCAGCTCTGAAGTGCTTCAGCAGGGTTTGCATCGGAGCAATAAACTGCTTGGATCTTTGCAGGAGTGACATAGCACCCAACCTTATTAGATGTTATTTTAATGTGGGATGTGGGGGTGTTTGTCGTTGTTTGTTTATTTTTTTTTATTTTTAATTTTTGGACGCCAGACATAAACATTTAGCAATCAGCTAAGCCCTTCTGAGATGGAATTTAACCTTAATCCAGGCGATGATTTCCTGCCCTGCTCTGAACTAATAACGGGCGTGCAGCTTCTTTAGGAGATGGAAATAATGACAGCCTATAGATCCTGCCTTTATTGGGATGGTGCTGGCAGCCCGGCTCCCAGCCCCTGCACCATCAGCATCCCCGTGCAGATCCTATTCCCTGCCCTATTTTAAAACTTCTGCAAATCCAGTCCCCCCACCCCATCAGTTTAAAAGCAAGGGGAGCCAAAATATCCTCACAAACTCCAGCTCCCTCCTTGTGTACAGCTTCCAGTTCTGTGGCTTGGGGACGGTTTTAAGGGCAGTTCTCTGGGCACAGGTTTTTCCTCTTTTCCTCAAGTTTTCCTGTGTGAAAATGAAGAGAGTTAAGATGGGAGCAGCCTGACCCTGATGCAAACCTGTCTGAGTGAAGCCATGGGGGAAGCTGTCTTGCCTCCTGTCCTCTCAGTGGGTTTCCCTTCATCCACCAAAACCTATCATGATGATGACCCCCTTGGAGATAACCCTATGTCCCCATCCCTGTGTGGGTCTGTAGGGCTGGTCAGGGGCAAATCCTGCTGCAGGGACAAACCCTGCCATGAAAAAGAGGCCGTGCAGGGAGAGACCCCCGAGACCTCCAGGCAGCAAGGTGTGACTGGCAGGGGAGGGGCCACCAAGGAGGGCTTCAGGGCACAGCTCCTGGAGGACTGGGGCCTTCTGCTGGGACCTTCTGCCATGGTGGCTTTGTGGGCTGGGGGGATGATTCATGGCCTTATTTATTTAGATACGTTTGCTTTTTCCCCGGCACAGGAGGAAAATCAAGGAAATAGCAGCAAAACTGTTCTGGCTGATAAGTTTTGATTAATACATTTTAGAGGCTGGTGAAGACAGTGGTTTAGCACCTCTAAATAAGCTTCAGCTGCTTTGAGGCTTTTCCTTCAGGTCTTTCATCACCATAACCCTCTAATATTTTCCCCAAAGTGTGGAACCCTTCCTGCATCAGGGATTAAACATCCCCATGTAGGGGACCCAGATGAGATGTGCCCACTTGCAACGGAGCCTGGGGAGAGCATCCTTTCCTCCCCACAGCTCTGCTCCGCCGAGGGAGTGGCTCCTGCAAGAACAGGGGCTCCCTGTGGGTTCTGGCTGCTCCTCATGATCAATCTCTGGGGTGCTGAAGCTGTCCTTGCCTCGAGAAGAAATTGGGAGACTGGCAAAAAAATAAAAATCCCAAACAACCCCAAACCAATGAAAAAAAACCCAGGGTGGATTATTTTCTGCAGTCACCTGTGTTGGTAGAGGATAAAACAGGATGGAATAATTTTTGTGAGCAGGGAAGGCCCCATGAGGCCCCAAGATGCTGCTGGATACTTTTTCTCAGTACAGGTGTCCCTATAAACTAAGATTTAGAAAGGAAAGCCTCTATTTTTTCCCATTTCCACATGGAGGTGTCGGCACAGAGGACAGGAAGAAAGGGTCAGGGAATGACTCTCCCCCCAGCTGCTGCTGAGGTATTTGGGAAGAAACCTTTTGAATCAACATTCCCAAAGTTTTTGAGTTCCTCTGCGGAAAACCCATGTAGGGATAGGATATGAGCCAAAAGCAAGGGAAAAGATTGTCTGGCTTTAATTTATCTATCCCTGGGCATTTCTAACAAGCAGATCACTGTAATATTTAATCTTGTGCGAGTCCCTGCACGTTAAAAGTGAATCTCCCTGATATGTTTTTCTTAATTTTGTCATTTATAAAGTTGCTTCTGACGGCCTAGAGCTGCTCAGCTCCTGTTCACAATGTCTGTCTGTGTGTCTGCAGTGGGAGAACAGCATCCACAGGATCCCAAACCTCTTCTCACACCAGGCAGAGAGCAGTGAGCAGCGAGCATCCTCCATCTGCTGTCCCGCACCGTGAGCTGGAGATGCTTTTTCCTTCTCTTCTGGGATCAGTGCTGAAGTTCGGCCACATTTCTTGGCTCAGTTGGTAGTGATTAAAATTCACGGCTCACTTTTGTTTATAGTTGGTTGTTTACTTTGTTGAATTTTTAAAAACTTGTTAGAATGCAATTGAACACAGATTCAACAGTATTTAGGCTTGAAAAATAAAGATGCATTAGAAAGATGCCTATTATGCTTCAGAATTATTAATTGACATTTTTATGATGAATAATTAATCATTTGAATAATTTTCGTATCTCTGATCTGAACACATATTTGCATATCTAATGTCTGATTTTAAATGTGGTTTCTTTAGTTGCATTCTCCCAGGACAAAGACACGAAGTAACATCCTAATGCAAAACTTTTTTTTTCTTTGCACTCGTAAAAGTATGTTTATTGAAATGCAAGTTCCTATCTAGTTATGAAGCTGTTAATAATCTATGCATGACATATATGCATTAATAAGATGGTGAATCTTCTGGATATGAGCACATTTAGGCCTCATTTTCTTAAACGCAGTGGTGAGGTTTCCTGTAGTACATACATGTTACTAAAAGCCATGTGGGGTTAAGCTAGGAAACCATAAAGGAATATCTCAGACACACAGCGTTCCTGTCTTGTTTATATGACACTTAGTGAGAAGACCAAAGGTTGTTTCAACTTGAGGTGTCTGAAACATCAAGAACTTTTAATATAAATTTCTCACAGCGTCCTCACAGCGATCCAACATCAGTATTTTCTGGTTGTATTTCAATGTGCCTCAATCACAGACCTCAAGGCCCTGCCTGCTCCGAGCTGGTGGCAATAAAGGAACAACTGAAGCTGCAGATCAGTTATAAGTTGGTCAGCAAAGAGGTGCAAGTGATGGTGCTTGTTATGCAACCCCGCTCAGCACTGGGTTGGTGTGAGCACAACTCAGCCACAGGGGGAACAGAAAGGAGGAAGGGGCAGCTGGACAAAACCAGAAGTCAAAAGGTATAAAAATTAAATAAAGGAATTAAAGGACTAGCCTCTGCTCCACTGCCTCTGATCACAGGTTAATTGTTATAGCAATATTGCCCTGCCTGGCACCCAAGGGGTTGCTTTCACTTATGCAAGATATGATTTTGATTTATTAAGAAATTAAAGCTTTGGAGAATTTTTATTTAGTGGCACATTTAAATGTACAGGATGTCCAAATATTCTGTGTATAGCCTCTTGGCTCCTTGATGTCATACTGAAGAACTAGGGCAATTGTTGCTCTAGAAACACCTTAAATTGATGAATGATTTAGATGTAGCAGATAAGAGAAATTACATCAAAATGGAAGCACAAGTACAAGGCCGTGTTTAATTTTTTTTAGTGCCATTAATACAAGGTACACAGTACATATACAACGTAAAATGAAAATAAAAGCTTTTAATATCTGTTTTTTCCACACCAGGTAGTAATAAATATGTCCAATATATATATATTTTTATGGTGGAAGTATATTTTATAGACTGTGGAAATCTTGTGGGCAATATCTGACAGACAGACACCGTATAAAGCAACTGTGAAAGTAGTTCTCAGAACGGGCTGAAGTTATACTGAATAGGATGTTTAGCAGTTGCATATGCTCAGTGATAACAGATTCCATTTTTTTTTCTTTTTTTTTTTTTTTTTTTAATTCTAGGAAGGGTTGAATTTGTAATAGCAAGAGTGGTAAACTTGAGCAATACTTGTCACATGGAGGGCTGAGCTCTGAGCCCAGTGACCAAACCTGCCATCACTGTGGCCATCAGGCTGGTGGCAGTGGCAGCGAGTCCTCTTCAAAAGGACGAGGTGGAAATTGGGGTTAAACCTATGCTTTTTGATTCTGAAAGCAGGAGAGAAAGCAAACACCCCTGAGATGCTCCCACACTGCTTTGCAAAGCAAGACAGCACTTTTAGGGTTGGGGTCACCCAGCTACAGTGCTGGGGGGAAGGCATCCAGTGCTGAGAGTCACAGAATGGTTTGGGTTAGAAGGGAACTTAAAGTTCATTTCATTCCAGTGCCCTGCCACGGGCAGGGGCACTTTCCTCCAGGTCAGGTTGCTCCAAGCCCTGTCCAACCTGGCCTTGAACAGTTCCATGGAAGGGGCATCAAGAACATCAGCCAAAGCCCCTTAAATATGGTTGTGTCTTTGTGAGGCCAATCAACAACTTTGTGGTGGATTTATTAATGTAGAAAATGGAGATTTTTGTTTTGTTTTAGCCGGGCTGAATGGTGAATATAAATTCTACAGTTACACAGTAGCCCCTGTTCTACTTATTTGCGATTGGATCAAATTTCCTTTTCCCCGGCTTTCTTGGCATCTCCCCATTTTCCCCACTGACTACTGATTAAGTTAATAGAGGTGAAATTACCAGCAGAGAATCTGGGTGCAAAGCTGACATTTTGATGGCCATCCGAAAGTTCCAGAGTCGATCGATTGCCCCAATTATTTCTTATCACCGCCCCGGGGAAAACATGTTCCTCTCTCCGCGACTCCGGGAGATTAGCTGTATATTTTAAAATCTGCAGAAACACAAGGGTTACAAAGATATTTAGAAAATCCCAGATGATTCAAAACAATTAGATACTGCAGCGCAGTTTCCAAAGAAATTCCATGTGTACAGGATTGCCCAATGTCTGGAAAATTGCTGCCGTTCTGTGGGTGGTTGCTGGCTGTATCAGATTCCAAGAGAAGTAGAGGCACAACGCAGCGACTGTTGCACACCTAAACTGCAGATTTACCCACGAGCTGGCAGACATCCCCTTCATCAGGGGTGGCATCGGACTTGCCAGGTCTTCTGTTTGCTTCCCTCTGACTATCAGCATCATCTCCAGCCTGTCTGTGGATAGAGGCTTGGCCAACTGGCCCCTTTCCAAGCCCAAATCTTAGACTCTGGGTTATTAGAGCTGTCAAAAACAGGAGAGATATTCCCCCCCCCCCCCCCCTTGCCATGAAAGCGTTCTCCAGGTTGTCGCTCCTTCCCCATATTACGGTTTAAAAACGTTTCTTGGGAAATTTCCTGGCTCCTCTCTGGGTCATTTGCTCTGTGGTGTCCCAGGTCAGTGTCGTGCTAAAGGCACCAGCATTTAAATAAGTCCTTTCCCCACAAGGTTGGTGTTAGGTGCATGTACACTCCTACCAATGCTTCTTACTATATCACTTAAAACTTGCTCCAGGCAGCATCTAAACTATTTTAAACCTTACCATCCTTTTTTTAACACACATCAGCTATCCTGCTTCAAATCTCTGACAAGGATGTGAAAACCGCAGTGTCAGAACAACTGCTGCTCTCTTCTTGGATTCTGACAAGCAACCTTCAACCTGAAACCCTCGAAAAATGGCTATTTTTATCTTTTTTATTTAAAAAAAAAAATCAGAAGCTACCAAATTGACTCTATGCCTTTTCCTTGTTCTGACAGGTTGGAAATGGGTCCAAAAAATGTATGAGGCAGAATATGGCAATACTGTTTGATGTTCACCCTGTGGGTCCACACATATCCATGGGTCCACTTGTCAATGGGCCTACCACAAGAGGTTATGAATGGGTGTGATTTCCCAAATTCTGGGCTAGGGAGGAGGGAAAATGGTCTCTGGAATAATTTTGGCAGCCTGGGTTGTGCTGGTGTGAGCACTGATGCCCTGGGCTCCAGGAGTCAAGGACTGCAATCCTGAGTCTCCATCTCCTGTATCGTAATTTGATTGAGCCATGTCCCCACAAGGGGACATGCAAGGTCAATTTGCAAGGACCCAGCTCACTGCAGAGGGATATTCATTTCCTATACTGTTGTTTTGATGTTTTGTGGAGGTTGATGGGGAGGTTCAGGGCAGCAAAGTCAACCCTGGATGACTTTAAATCTGATCTATACCAATGGCTCTGCTGGGGTGGCTCTCTATGTGCAAGACCTCTTTCCCTACCAAGTCAGGGGAAAAGCAGAAGTGGTGGAGCTCAGGGAAAATAAAAAAAATCTCTGCCACAGCACAGCCTTGGATATCTGCTATTGGGGCAGGGGAGTGCCTGAGTGAACTCCTGTGCCCCCACCCACCACCAGCCCTGCCTGGCAGTGGTGACTGCCTATGCCAAAGCCTGCCTGGTGGTGGCACTCATTTTTGGGAGCACAGGAGATATCAGTGATGTCTGTGTCTGGAATTTGGAGACTGGAATTTGTGGGGTAGCATTTCGGAGGCAAGAAGTCAGATGTGAAAAGTCACATCTGATACTTCATGCTGGAAAGTGGATGTGTTTAGAGGTGGGAGCAACAGAGAAAATGACGTTAATCTACACACAAGGAAGGGTAAGCTCTGCCTCATAGGGAGAAATGTAGAGCAGAGACTGAAAACACTGCAAATATTTGTTCTCATTGTCAGATGTTTCTATAAAATCAGTTGTTACTGAATCACCACTGAAGTTACGGAGCACTTAAATAAGCACAGAGTGAAAAAAGCTAAGTCTAATTATATGTTTCATGCCATTTACAGAGGTTTCCAGGGGATTTTCTTTTAATAAAAGTGCAGTGCATCAAAAGGAATAAATCCTGCAATTTTGTTATTTACAAATCAGCTGCTTCTGCCTCGAGCTGACAGACTTATCCTCCATCTTACACCCCTCTTTCCACCCCAAAATGCACCCAGTACTTTGGCATTTATATTTACACTCTTCAAGCACCTACAAACTCTTTTATACTCCTTATGTTGGTAAGCAAATGGATCAGAAGAAAATCATCACAAAGGCATAAAAAATATTCTGAAACAAAGATACAGAAAAAACCCCCATAATGTTGAAAAACATGCAACATAGATGTTATCCAGATGAAGGGAACAAATGCCTTTTACATCCCTGCCCACCGATTCCTGAAGATTTCAAATCGGAAGCCTAGCTGGAGATATGATGTAATCAATTAGTTAAAATGATTTACTAACATAAAACATAACACCCTTTCAATGATTGATTTTTATCCCCCTCGCATTTTTTTTTTCCCCTGTCACAATCACTCTGCCCCTTTTCTGACTCCAGATTATTTAGCAGTTGACTTTGGTGTTCAGAGTGTTGCATATCAATCCCCAGGACCAAAACATGCCACTCATGTTTTCTCTGCTACGTAATCTA